TTCTAAGCTGCAGAGTGTTGAGATATTCGTGAGACCACTGTCGCCAAAATGATTGATGGCACTGTCGAAGCAGTGTCCATCATTTAATCAAACCAACAGAACTTTCACTAACATCAAGCTCAGGGACAGCTAATAAAGGTTCACCTATTAGAAAATGCCCAGGAGTGAGACACTGTAAATCATGGGGGTCACTAGACAGAGGTGATAGAGGCCTAGAATTTAATATTGACTCTATGCGTATAATGATGGTAGTAAACTCTTCATAAGAAAAAACATGATTACCCATACATTTAAACAATAAAGATTTTGCGGACTTCACTGCTGCTTCCCAGATACCACCAAAGTGTGGGGCATTTGNCTCAGATACCACCAAAGTGCGGGGCATTTGGAGGATTAAAATGCCAAACACTAGGAACTGCCTTGGCCAATGCTGCACGATTCTTCTCAGAGCTAACTATCATCTTCAACTGACGTTCAGCACCAACAAAATTTGTTCCATTGTCTGAATAAATGTCTGATGGATAACCTCGACGTCCAACGAAGCGATCAAGTGCTGCAAGAAAAGCTTCAGTCGATAGTTCAGTAACCACTTCAATATGCACTGCTTTTACACTCATGCAAACAAATATAGCAATATAAATTTTGAACAAACGTGACGAAACTTTAATGGCGAAGTTTAATGAGAGTAATGGTAATGCTACTAATGGAAACACTGATGATGGTGATTCAATGGTGACTTTATTCCCTGGCCAATCTTTCAAGAATAACAAACTTCTAAAAATTCCACTTACCATGTTTTCGGGTAAGTTCATCGATTGGCCTTCCTTTAGTGGCCGATTTCTTACCCAAATATACAACAATACTAGTTTGTCCAATGATGAAAAATATTATTATTTATGTGGTTGTGTTAGTGGTGAAGCGTTAAATGTTATTAAGGGCTTTCACATGTCACCGGACTGCTACAAACTAGCTTGGAATGCACTTGAGGCAAAATATAATAAGCCACGTCAATTAGCTAATTTATTGGTGGAGAAATTAATAAGTGCATCTCCGTTGGCTCAAGAGAATGTTTCATCGTTGAATGATTATGTTGAATTGTTTGAAGACAATATTTCTTTATTAAGATCATTGTCTATTCCTGATGTTGGTGAATTTATTTTATTCACATTAGCTGTGAGGTGTCTACNTAATTTTATTCACATTAGCTGTGAGGTGTCTACCTCGTAGTAGTAGAAAACTTTTTGAGGCAACCAATATTGAAAACTTCCCTGATGTAGAGAGTCTGTTTATGTTCATACGAGAAAGNCACGGAGAATAATTACTTAATTAAAGAACTATCAGTAATAGATGTCGATTCTTTAGCAAAATAACACTGGATTTTTAAACATACATTTACAATACAACAATCGGAAAAAAGTTATAATGTGAATAAATAATTATCGCGGAACAGACATTTTTTGTCATTTTTCAACTGAAAAATGACACTGGGATTGATACTTACGCCGGATTAAAAAGACTTGCTGAAGATTGTGATAAATGGAGAGCGAAGTTAAAAACGTTTTGAAAAAAAAATGTCAGAAAATGTTAAACATTTTGAAAGTTCTCTAATTCAGGAGATTTTAAACTCACTGTTATTTGAATACATTTATGTAAAAGAACAATAGAAACAACGAATACTTTCAAAGTTAGATAATTTAATCAAAATATAGATATAGAATCTTTATCTATATTTATATACATTTATAATTTTGGTGAATTGAGGTTTAAGTCATTTAATATATTCCTTGAGAAATTAAATATAAATGTTGTTAAATGTTTACTAACTGTTAAGATTATGTATAGTTTAATGTTATAATATATTTTTTTATTAATATTCATCTGTCATTATAGGAAAAATTGTTTCTGTTCTTTTACCAGTTAAGGCCTTGTGAGCCCAGTAGCCCTTTCACGGAGAATAATTACTTAATTAAAGAACTATCAGTAATAGATGTCGATTCTTTAGCAAAATAACACTGGATTTTTAAACATACATTTACAATACAACAATCGGAAAAAAGTTATAATGTGAATAAATAATTATCGCGGAACAGACATTTTTTGTCATTTTTCAACTGAAAAATGACACTGGGATTGATACTTACGCCGGATTAAAAAGACTTGCTGAAGATTGTGATAAATGGAGAGCGAAGTTAAAAACGTTTTGAAAAAAAAATGTCAGAAAATGTTAAACATTTTGAAAGTTCTCTAATTCAGGAGATTTTAAACTCACTGTTATTTGAATACATTTATGTAAAAGAACAATAGAAACAACGAATACTTTCAAAGTTAGATAATTTAATCAAAATATAGATATAGAATCTTTATCTATATTTATATACATTTATAATTTTGGTGAATTGAGGTTTAAGTCATTTAATATATTCCTTGAGAAATTAAATATAAATGTTGTTAAATGTTTACTAACTGCTAAGATTATGTATAGTTTAATGTTATAATATATTTTTTTATTAATATTCATCTGTCATTATAGGAAAAATTGTTTCTGTTCTTTTACCAGTTAAGGCCTTGTGAGCCCAGTAGCCCTTTCATTTTGGTAGCAGAGCGTGTGGTTGACTGCGGGCGGCGTTACTGGTCGAACTTATTTGTCCGTTAAAGTCTATATAATTGAAATCCAGTCGTATTACCCTTTCGAAGTAAATTCTTTAATGTTCTATTAAATCGTTCTACAATACTCGCTTTCAAAGTAAAAAAAATTGAATATCTTTTTATTTTATATTTTTCTATTAATTCATCGAAATATTTGTTATACAATTTACCCCATCCATCGCATTGTAATAAAGATGAGGATTGTATTTTAAATATTTATTCCATTACTAGAGTCACCTCTTTACCAGTTTTAGTTTTTAATAGTTTTATATAAGCGAATTTCGTGAAATAATCAATAACTGTTAATAAAAATTTATACCATTTATTAACACTAGAGTAAACTTTGCATTTCGACCAAATATGCTTCCCAAAAGTAATTTCTACCATATACATTTACTTTTCTTCTTACGAAGTTACGTCTCGCACCTCTATGAAGTTCGAGGGCGATATCACGTTTCGACATGAGGAATTTGTCTTATAATTTTCGCTTCTAGTAATTCTCGCCAAATCGATGTAATAGAATTTTGTACTCCTGTATTACCTGCGCCTTTCGAAGCCAACAATAATTTAAATTTTTTTACTAATTCATTTGGATCATCCCAAAATTCGTAACATTTAAGGGAATTATTATTATTTTGCACTGTTAAAATAAGATCTTCTCCATTGCAAAATAGCGATGCAATAATCTTCTTATACTTCACACCATCCCTTTTTAAACTGGTTTTGCGTTTGTTTAAATGAGCCGATGAGAGAAATAACATATTTTATAATTTTTTTTATCATCTTCGGTATAATTTTCAGGATCTTTAGAGAACAATAATTGAATAATGCCATTTGTTAACGGAAACTCATTATCATTTACATATATAATAGATTTTTGATCGTTAAACTCAATGTATGAATCACCAAATTTTATTTTATCTAAAGATGACTTTTTTGAAGCATAAATTTTATTTAAATTAAATGATTGAAACCATGAATTAATAGATAAATTTTCTGGAGAAATATATTCTTTCTCGGTGTGATAAACATCTTTGGTATTATTCAAAGTTTTAGCGGTTTTAATGTTAATATCTATATTTGCAGTAATTAAAATGGAGTTTAACTGAAAAAATAAAATAATTGTGTTGTGATACAACAGCTTCTAATACAGATAGATTTATAGGTTCCTGCATATTATTGGAGCAAGTGTTGGGGTGTGATATTTTGTATATATCGTTTAGAAATCATTTATAACATTCTGTTATTAATAAGATTTATTATAACGCACTATATAAAATACAAATATGAAATATATAACTAAAATATATACTAATAATTGACACCATAGAGAACATAACCTTTTTCTCTTACCAGGGAGGATCAATAGGTGATATGTGGTATTACGCTACACATTTATTAAAAATTGTATTAAATAGTGTTTTTGAAATCAAATTTAATTCACCATCTGTGTCAGATGTTCCTATATTCAATAAATTTCAAAATTCTTAGTAAAATATAAATAAAAAAAATTACTTATGTGCGATATTATCATTTAGAAAAATTACAAATAATACAAGATGATATTTTGAAATATAGTTTTGATCAATTACAACAATACCAACCTCAAGATGAATATAAGGAAAATTTAGAATTGATCATAATATTTTTTGGTGAAACACTATCTCTGAATGAGATTTATTTTAAACTTCCTGGGCCTTATCATCATGCTCGATGCATGGTCAAGGCCCTTTAATGTTCAAAAATATTTTTTTTTTAGAGATCAATTTTTGTTATCAATCTAAGAATTTATCGATATTCGTTCGTTGTTAATTTTTATTATAAGTGTATATATTAAACAATGGGTTAGATGCGTTAGCATCAAATTTAGATTTACAATTTATAGAAAGTATAATTGAATGTGAAACTATAGATATAAATGTACGCATAAACGTGTACTTTTAAGATTATATGGAATTTATGAATATAAAAATAAAAATATTGAAGACTTCATTTCAGCGGAATAAAAAAAAAAACAACCCAGCACAGGGGAGTCGAGACACAGTGGTGACATGGCATAGTTGGATCAAGTATAATGATATCTGACAGTGATTAAAATCACTATCAAAAAAAAAACGTTTCTATGCAAATCTTTAGATAGTGTTTAATTTTAAAAAAATGGTGGATTATTCCAAAAGCTTCATGATCTGCTAGTTCGTTATTATTAGCATTATTAAGTTAAAAATAATAAAAAAATGTATATAAATACTACTTTTCATGAAAAAATTGTATTGATTCATACATTTTTCAAAAAGTTATAACATAATAAAGTTAAAAATGTAAAATACAAAATCGAAAATCTTTACACAAAAATAGCATTTGGTAGCCATTTTCACCGTGAAAACAAAATAAAGTCCGAAATTTCTTTTTTCGATGATAAAGTATATTACATTTGCTTTAATTTAAGATATATATAAAAGTGTCAGACTTTCCGGAACATTTTCAAAAGTCAAGTTGAAAAAATTAATTTTTTGTGAAAAAGTTGTCATTTTAAATCCCCCCTATGGGCAAGTAAAGGGTCAGATTAATAAAAAAAATTATACCAAATGAAAGGTAAAGACATTAAACATCTATAAAAAAAATAATTATATTGATATGTTTATTTTTGAAAAAGTTACGGCAGCTTTTAGTAAAAAAAATTGAAAAAATTTCGAAAATTAGTGTATTTTAAATTTGTAATTTTTTTGGAGGTTTCCCCAATTTAAGGGGAACGAGGGAAATTTTTTCAATTTTTGAGGGTAATATCGACTAGATACGATTTGTGTACTTTTGACGTATCAAGAAATTGGTTTGATGAAAGCTGAGAAAAAGTGGTAACAGAAACAAAAAAAAAAACACATCTTAGTAAAACCAATACCTTCTCAGCTTCGCATCGAAGCTAAAATATTTGAAAGATTTGAAATTGAAGCTGATTTTTAGATTTAGATCCTAT